GGTGGGAAAGATTGGGCTTGACCTTGGGCTCAAGCCTTAAGTGCAAATCTTAAGGTTGGGCTTGGGTTGACCATAAACTTAGCCCAACCTGCTCAACTTGCGCCCCTAGTTCTAACACTGGTTCCTTATTTTAGTTTAGATAGAGTAAACTCCTAGACCTTGGAAGTGACCTAGGTGGGAGTTGGTTGCAAAAATTTGGAACCATTCCCTACTTGCTAACAAATTAGGTAGGATTGGCTCAAGACCAATCTGATATCGATTTGATTTGGTTTGGGTGGAACATATCCATTTGCTCATCCCTAGCATATACATAGAGGTGTAAATCGGGCCGTACCGCCCACGACCTGACACAATTTTGAGCCGACCCGATGGTTCACGGGTCGTGCTATAGCACAACACGGTATGGGCCATGTTGAGCTTGGGTTTCAGGTCCATGGGTCGGGCCGACACAGTCCACATTGTCATGTTGTGACACTTGTGGCCCGTGGGCTAGCATGGCCCGGCCTAGCCCGTAGGGTCGCAGTGGGTCGAATGTAGCCTGCCCGAAGAACTAGCTGTTGGAGACCCCCTCCCCCCCAACGGCTAGTTTCAACTTATGGGGTTTTTTTTACAAAAATACCCCCCAACAACTATATAGGGGGTATTTATGTATTTTAGCTTTAGGGGAGATAAAATGACAATAATGCACCCAGCAGCTATATAACAATTAATTTAGGGGGGTATTTAAGAAAAGTGATAAATAACTTTATAATGACCAAACTACCCCTCCTAACAACTCTAAAATGACAATAATGCCCCCAACAACTATATAACAACTAGTTTAGGGGGTATTTAAGTAAAGTGATAAATGACTTTATAATGACCAAACTACCCCTCCTAACAACTAAAAAATGACTAGTTTTTAGGGTATTTTGGGGAATTAAATTATTTTCAATTCCTATAAATAGTCTTATCCTCTACCATTCTCATCACACCAATTCTCATACTCTTTCAAATCTAAACCTCTCATACATCATACTCTCACATATATTCTCATACTCTCTCTACTCTCCAATTTCTAACTTGATTCAAGTTTCAACAAGAAGAAGGCTTGCTCAAGTATCTCAAGTTAGCAATTTGGGAGACTTGGAGGCATTAACCGTTGAAATCAAGTTGAGATTCTATATTGGCAATCCAAGTAAATGCAATTAAATTAACTTTTATTTTTTTTAATTAGAAAAATGGATGGCTCCTTCTCTCACTTTAGACACTAATTCCCCAATGTGGTCAATGTTGACAATGTTAGTGTTCAGTCGCAATATGATAGTATTAGTGCCGATATGGATGCTATTGATATTGTCAACATTCCCACCCCTAGTATTGCTAATAGAGGTAGGGGAAGAAAAATGAGAACACTAGGTTGATTAGCCCGGTTTGAACAATATTTAAAATAGAGAAGGTTGAGGGGAAGGGAAAGAGAGCCATTTGTCAAAAATGTATGAGTGACTTTAATTGTAGTAGTAGTAGTAGTGGTATTGGTTACTTGGGAAGACATTTGAAACACCATATGATGAAAGAAGAAGAAGGGAAAGAAACATCACAAGCACAAACAGGAAGTGAGATTTTTGGTACTTTTAAATATTTTCAAAAAAAAAATGAGGCAAGAGTTAGTAAAATATATTATGCATGATGAACATCTATTTTTATTAGCTAAATATACTAAACTTGAAAAAAATTTACGTAGATATGTAAATCCACAATTTAAAAAAAGTTTCTAGAAATACTATTAGAACTGATGCTTTAAAAATTTGTTACTCATATAAACAAAATTTAATTTCTATGTTATCAAATCTTAATTTTAAAATTGCAATTAGTTCTGATATTTGGACATCTAGATTTAATATAAGTTATATTTGTGGTATCAGTCATTTTATTGATGAAAAATGATTTTTACATAAAATAATTTTAAGTTTTACTAGGCTTTATTGGCCACATACTAGCCCAATTATTGCTGCAAGTATTTTAAATATTTTACATATTTATGGAATTGAAAATAAACTTTTTTATATTAGTTTTGATAATGATTCAATAATAAATATTTTAAAATCTCAATCTCAATTAAAACAATGTTTAGATGGTAAATTATTTCATAGTAGATGGGCATGTCACATTTTAAATTTATGTATTCAAGACGTTTTAAATATTTTTTCTCATCAAATTTATAAAACTAGAAATTGTATAATATATATTAAAAGTTCTAGAGTAGGAAAACAAGAATTTAAATATTTATGTCAAAATTATGGTTTAAAATATAAACATTTTGTATTAGATGTTCAACATAGATGAAATTCTATCTATTTTATATTAGAAAGTTGTATTTCTTACAAACAAATTCTTACTGATTTTTATAATGCAAAAATGCCGCATGATATGATACTCGAGGAAGATTGGGAAATGACAATTTGTATAAAAGATTTTTTACAAATTTTTTATGATGTAACTAATGATTTTGTGGGTGTTTATTACTCAACTAGTTATCTTTTAGTTAATCAATTATTTATGATTAGTGAATGTTTTGCAAAATATAGGAAAAATCTACAAGTATTATTGAAATAATGGAAAATAAATTTAAAAATTATTGGGGGCAAATTTTCCCATTTATTACTTAGCTATAATATTAGATCCTAGGATTAGTAAAGATGGTTTAGAAGTTTTACTTGAATCATATCGTGAAAATATGAATATTGAATTTGGAAATAAAAAAGAAGAAATTAATAGTTTATTATTTGAAATTTATAGTTTATATGAATTTCAAGTGGTAGGGCATAGAAAATCTTGTACATATACAAGTTCCATTTTTGAAACAACTAGTTACAGTAGCGGAAAAGACAAAATCCGGTCTTTAATAAATAAGATGTAGAAATCTACTACCACTTCATCAACAAGTTAATTTAATGAACTTAATTTTTATTTGCAATCAAGTTTTTCTACTTTAGTTGATTCATACGACTTTGAGGAATGGGATAGTTTTGATATTTTGGCCTGGTGGAGAGGATATTAAAAAAACTATCTACTCCTTGCTGCCATGGCACGCGATCTACTAATCCTTCGATGTCTATAGTTCTATCGGAGTCTTGTTTTAGTACAGGTATTAGGGTGCTGGACGACAAGAGAAGCTACATGAATGATGGAAGTGTGGAGATGTGTATCTGCCTAAAAAATTGGTTGGATACTAATGATAGATTACAAGATAAATGAGTGCATGACATTACACCTAATGTTTCACCTGAAGAAGATGATGAGAATCAAGGAGATGATTAGATGAAGATGCATGTGGAGGTGGAACTTGAAGAAAAATGATGAAGTCAATATTTTTTATTTGTTTGTATACTCAATATTTCAATTATTGTAATAGGTTTCAATTATTAAAATTATTGTATTTTTTTCAATTTTATTTAAATTAGTTGTTATTTTTTCAACAATGTAATTTTTTATTTTCAATTTATAATTGTATTATATTTTTATATTTTATTCATTTTTTATATTTCATTCATCCATTGACCATTGTATTGTTAAAATTCAAGAAATAAAATTCTTATTTGTTTTCCAATTTGTTGTCCATTTTTGTATTTTGTTAAATATTTAAGTATTTTTTATTTCTTTGTTAGATTTTTTATTTTTCCAATTTGTTCCCAAAGCTCAAAGGAATTAAGGAAAGTGAAGTATTTTAGTTTTAGTATTTACTTAGCAAAAAAATAAAAATAAAAATAAAAATGTAAAAAAAAAACTATTTGACTTGGTTCGGCCTGACTCATAGCCTAGCTTGACACGGGCCAGGCCCATGGCATGGCCTATAGCTCGCTCGGCCTAGGCCTGCGACACGACATGATCCATTACAAGCTCGAGCTATGGGCCGTGCTAGACAACCCCCCAAAGCATCCCAGGGGTTGGGAAGCACTGTTCACAGGTCGTAGCGTACCAACCCAATACGACCCGATTTACACCTCTACATATACAACCATGCAAGCAGCATATTCCAACACTTCTTTTTCATGGGGTTACACAAAAAAGCAATAGGTAGCCAAGCCCATCCCCCATACCCATAACCTCCCCAACACGATTTACTCCCAAGTCTGAAGTCTCCGTTACAACCAGCAATAAAACTTACCAACTGAGCCACTACCAAATTATTTGCTATAGGAATTTGATCCCCGACTCAAGACTTGCAACTTTATGTTTTTGCTAAATGAAATGTAACCCAAATTAGTAGATTGCATTACATCTATCTCTTTTTTTTTTTTTCCTCCGTTTGCGATATATGAGCGTTTGTTTAAAACGTAAAAAAGTAATGATTATCAATGCAAAAATGCATTTTTTGACACTTTGTACTCTAAAAATAGAGCATTACTGTACCTATTTTTTTATACAATTTTGTATTCATTTGATGATTGACTTTTTGACCAAAGTTGAGGCATTAGAGCATAAGATAGTTGGAGCATTTAATGATGGACCCACACCTTTGCACTGACTTCAAACAAATASGATGAATACAAAAACAATTTAAAATGTAAACCATATTTGCATCCATGAACCGAAAAATGGGTAAATATATAATGTACATATTTGCACTTGCATTGCAAACAAAGGCAGACTAAAATGATCCAAAGAGGCCCATCTTTTGCTTCCAAACTTTACTCCTTACTTATCCGCCCTTTTTTTTTGGGATTTTTTTCAATACAATTGCTAGTTTTAAACACCATATCAACATTGTTTCCGTTCCGGGCATTGTTGTGATGCTAGTTAATGTGAATCAGCAGACTTAAATTGCAATTAGCAAAGAAAAGTACTTTTGCCAAACACCTCGAATCGTTGTTTTATCCATTTTTTCTTCATGTACCCTATAGGCCTATACGGAAACCGGCATCTGTAAGTCAGAAAGATTGTATAGAGGCCCAGGCCCAACGATTTCAATTTTTACGTGTTTATACTTTATAGTTAGTTAAAACCCTAAACCCTAGAAGGTGGGTGCTTCTAGAGACTTCCTTCGTCTAGAACCCACCTCTGCCAGTGCTGAACCCCTCGTGCTCTGTCCTCTATTTACGTCCTCTCCTTCCATCTCTCAGTGTTGCATTTTCCACCCAAAGCAACACTCCAGAAACCCTAACCAGAATTCACACTAGGTTTTCGTACTCTGCAACTCTCTAGCTTAAACCATGTATCGCATGGCTGCCAACCTTGCTTCCAAGGCCCGGTAAGTAGATAAAATGAAATAATTTTATTCTGATTGTTCACTGATCACGCATTTTGTTTGTTGATTTCTTACAATTGTGATATTCCCTTTTGTGCTTTTCTCTTTTCGCAGAATCGCTAGGAACGGTAGCCGACAGGTGGGACTAGTGTATCTTTTCTCTCTCTCTCTCTCTCTCTCTGTTTTTTTTTTTTTTTTTTTTCATTTTCAGTGGCTTCGGGATTATTTGGGAATGGTTTAAATGTTGCTTATTGAATGGGTTCGTCTCCTTTTTTTTTTTTTTCTCATTCTATGTTTGGATTGTTGAATTTTAGGTTGGTAGTAGGTTGAGTTGGAACAGGAACTATGCGGCTAAAGACGTCAAATTTGGAGTTGAAGCTCGTGCCTTGATGCTTAAGGGTGTTGAAGAGCTTGCTGATGCTGTTAAAGTAACCATGGGTCCTAAGGTAATTGATCACTTCCTGGTATTTTTGTTAAATCTTCATTTCTGAACTGAACGCAAGATGTTAATTGTGGTGAAATGAAAATGAAAATGCAATGTGCTTGGTTTGGAACCAAGGAGTACATACCACGATCGATCTATAGGCATGTCCACTTATGTACTTGTAAAATATAATAACTTTATTCGAAGACGAAGACAACTCCCCTTCTTCATTGTGTGTAGATTTTGTTTGGTGTAAGAGCTGCACCGTAGTATTGTAGGATTCTTTTACAGAGTTGGAACTCCTAGTAGTATGGGAGGTTTAGGATCACTTGGTAATTTTCAATGAGGACTGCTAGTAGGCAGTGGGTCCGCCTGGAAAGTGGCAAGCCCGCAGTAGTGTTCATGAAAATGCACACTACAAGTCAGAAGCACCCCTCTGGTGCGTGGCAGTGTTACATGGATGTGGACACGGGAATCAGAATCTGACACGTCCTGGAATCTGACTTGTCAAGATTGTTTTTGTTAATAAACATTTTATAGGAAAATGGCATTCATTATGCATATTAGCTGCCCGGTTTAATAACTAAGAAGAAAAAGGAAAAAAAAATTGTCACATAGAAGTGTTCTTCAAGAATCCATGAAGTTAGCTGCCTGCTAACATTTCCCTTTTTAATTTAAAGCAATATTTTTCAAAGGAGTTTCTCTTAACATCCCTCCACCACCCAACAAACACAAATAAATGGTAACTTGTTTTCCTCATTCTTTTCACTTGTTTCTTCTAACGTTCTGGTTATGCCAGTTAGCTTAGCTGATTTATGAATGCTCTTGTGCCTGACTTTTCAAAGGGGCGCAATGTTGTATTGGAGCAAAGCTTTGGTGCCCCAAAGGTGACCAAAGATGGTGTTACTGTTGCAAAGAGTATTGAGTTCAAAGACAAAACTAAGAATGTGGGTGCAAGCCTTGTGAAGCAGGTAGCAAATGCAACCAATGACATGGCAGGCGATGGTAAAGTTGCTTACCTTACCTTTTTCATCTTTTAATGGATGTAAATGAATAGATTAGAGCAATAGTATATTTATGTGCATGTTTTTGTTACGATTATACCACTCTTGTGGTGCTCCTGTGGATAATCTTAATTATTATCTTGGTGTAGAAGTGGATTGCAACTGATGATACCCTTCTGTTTGACATATTTGCAGGTACCACTTGTGCGACAGTCCTCACTCGTGCAATATTTTCTGAAGGCTGCAAGTCGGTGGCAGCTGGAATGAATGCAATGGATCTAAGACGGGGGATCACAATGGCGGTAGATGCTGTAGTGACAAACTTAAAGAGCAGAGCACGAATGATCAGCACATCTGAGGAGATAGCACAGGTTCTTTGCATTTTCTGTTTTTTCCCTGGACTTGCTTTTACTGTTACACTTGTTGGTATTAGTAGTAGTAGTGACGGCCTGAAATCTGAGAAAGCCTAAAAGCCAATTTTCCCCTAATGGATGGCTAATTTAGTTCTGTATGGAAAAAGGTTGGAACAATATCAGCAAATGGAGAAAGAGAGATTGGTGAGCTGATAGCTAAGGCGATGGAGAAAGTAGGCAAAGAGGGAGTTATCACCATAGCTGTAAGTTAGTGCTATTCTTCTTTTATCTTGATATGTCAAACTAGTATTTTTGTAACTATCCGAATTTTCTATGCAAATAACATAAACATTTAAATTACAATTCTTTTAAACTTTTATCTCATTAGCCAATTCAGTGGGTCTTTGTGAGTTCCTGTATTTGTCCATCATCATCATCACCACCACCACCATCTATCTCTGCACGTGCGCAAACATACTTGTGCTTTGGCAGTTGGAGCTGAATATGGAATTTGAATTTTTCCAAACACTTGAGAAGCCCACTGAATTTAAATCACCTGCAGAAATTGATATGATATAAATTTAAAAATATTCAAATGATCAAGTTGTCTGTATGTTTCTTTTTCCTTTGTCATTTGATATTGTACATCAAATCCCTAAGTTTAAAATTTTCATCCAGCTAATAGGTTTGCATGTAGGTTTCTACTTGGTTCTATTGCACAAACTATTAGGTATCTATATTATGTATCATGTAACATTAATTTGTATCTGATTTTTCTTGTTGCCCTAACTGTTGCAGGATGGGAAAACACTGTATAATGAGTTGGAAGTTGTTGAGGGAATGAAGTTGGATAAAGGCTATATATCTCCATATTTCATTACCAATGAAAAGAATCAAAAATGTGTAAGCCTTCTGTCCCTGTTAAGCAAATTTCTCATGTCTCAAGATGTATTTATTTTGACCTCTCTATGTCTGAACAATTTCAATTAAGAAAGTAGATCAGATAAACCACCTCTTGATTTACCAAGGAGGTTGCAGCAGGGATTTGCAAGTGGGTTAGACCCCCTATTGTTAAGGGAGTGGTATGATTATGATTAAGAAGAGGTGCTAGTCATCAAGAGCTTTTTGCATTTCTTGGGAGATGCAGGAATGAATGAGGGTTTTCTTTGGGTTATATATATTATTTTATAATTTATTTGTCTTTGGTTAATTAAAATTTTCTATTAAGTAGAGGCTTCCCAAGTTGTTCAGAGGTAGCAAAAGTTATTTTGCAAGTTTTTAATGATAAGTTGGCTAGGAATTGGTAGTCTGATCTTGTACCTGTAATGTTATCTGTTTTTTCTGCCAGGTTGGCTTCCTGGTGCATGGCTTATATGCCAACCTTTTTTTTTCTCTGGAAGTTCTTTTTTTTTTTTTTTAATTTCATGTATTGCTTATTCTTCAAACAGTCATTGCTGTATTATTTCTAATAAAGGAGAAGTTTTCCCCCAGAACTGGCTTCATAATAGTTCTAATATTGTCTTGCTTCTGCTCTCAGGAATTGGAAGATCCCCTTATTTTGATCCATGAGAAGAAAATATCAAGCATAAATGCTGTGGTAAAAGTATTAGAGTTGGCCTTGAAGGTAAGCAAGCAGTTCTTGTTTGTTTTTATTTATTGGATTTAAATATACTCCACTTAGAAGATGTAATCTGTTTATCTGATTAAATTTTCTTGTGAGCTTCAGAGGCAAAGACCTTTGTTGATTGTTGCAGAAGATGTAGAAAGTGATGCACTGGCAACTCTTATTTTAAATAAGATTCGAGCTGGAWWCAAGGTACTGCAGCAGTGCGTCTGTTTTTTCATCTACTAATTTCTACCTCCATTACAGATAGTTGATCATTAGGTGGGCAGAAAGCATCATTTAATGGCTTGACATGGGTATGATATGTAACTGTTAACAGGTTTGTGCCATTAAAGCTCCTGGATTTGGAGAAAACAGGAAGGCTGGTATGCAGGATCTTGCAACTCTAACAGGGGGTGAGGTAAGTCCACTATCTCTCAATGCTATCAGATTTTACCAGACAGAATCATTTTGGGCATCGAGTCCCAGATCAAACAGTAACCATGTTGTTCTGTGCAGAAAAACAAACAAACAAATAAATAAATAAAAATAAAATAAAATAAAATCTGTTCCAGATTAGCTTTTAAAGTTATTTTTTGGTCAGGCGTGCTTAGGCGCACAGGCGAGGCACATTTTGGGGTATGCGTCTTGCCCAAGTCCTAGGCGCACGCCTGGTGTGCCTAGGCATGTGCCTGATGCGCCTTGCACCTCAGCCCAGGCGTGCGTCTTTTTTAAAATTTTGCGCTTTTTGCTTTTTTTTGAGTCTAATGGCTGGGTCGGGGGGCTCCGCCCCCAGACCCCCGACCACACCCCTCAAGGCAAGCCCGAACAAGTCTACGTTAGGGTGTGAAATTCTTATTTCTCACATAAAAAAATATTGATTTTATAACTTTCATTGCCTTTTAAGAAGATATTTTATAACTTTCATTGCCTTTTGAAAGGTCTATTATCCAAGCCCAGATCTCATCCCAATGGAAAACTGTCCCAAAACGTTGCAACATGATCTTTGTCCACACATCCTAATTTCTCATCCATGATGGGTCCCTGTCTTATGGTGAGATTTGCAGGGAGAGATCATGTTGGAACCACGTTGGGACAGTTTTTGTTGGGATGAGATCCCAACTCCTACCATTCAGTCAAGTCTAAGTCTGAAAACAATGATATCTGTCTTGCCTTCGTTTTAGATTTAACAATATTTTATATGCATGCTTTGTTAAATTATCTTGTTTTCTGTTCAGCTCATCACAGAAGAACTTGGCATGAACCTTGAGAAGGTGGACTTGGATATGCTTGGCACATGTAAAAAGGTGCTCTTATTTTCTTCCTTCCAAAACCATATTGTTTTTTTTTTTTTCATTATAGAAGTTAACCTGTTAGTGCATCTGTAGGTGACAGTATCTAAGGATGACACAATCATTCTGGATGGGGCTGGTGACAAGAAAGCCATTGAGGAGCGATGTGAGCAGGTAATGCTATTCCTTATTCTTTATTCATTATTAAGTTCTTTCATTTGGGCTTCTGTTTTGTCCGAATTGTTGCTCATTGCTTCCATTATTGATCTAAATGCTGATGGACATTATGCATCCTAACACGGTTTGTTGCTAAAATATTTTGGAACAGTTGAGGTCCGCAATTGAATTGAGCACTTCTGATTATGACAAGGAGAAATTGCAAGAGAGGCTAGCAAAACTTTCTGGTGGTGTTGCTGTTTTGAAGGTATACTATCCTGTTGAAACAAATTTGCAATTTTTGTTTAAATCKTGRGCTTCAAGGATCTGGGGTTTAAGTTTGCCTCCACCTTCCCCTTTGCCACTTTAAATTGGTAATAATTTTGAGTTTCTTTGCAGATAGGAGGAGCCAGTGAAGCTGAAGTTGGTGAGAAGAAGGATAGAGTTACTGATGCTTTAAATGCAACTAAGGCRGCTGTGGAAGAGGGAATTGTACCTGGTGGTGGTGCTGCACTTCTTTATGCATCCAAAGAATTGGATAAGCTGCACACTGCCAATTTTGACCAGAAAATTGGTGTTCAGATAATTCAAAATGCTCTCAAGGTATCCATCTTTGCCATGCTTGATATCAGTTATTCCACTACCTTAAATTGAGGTTATAGTAACTTAAGGCAGCTTTACATGACATTCACGGCAATGTTGATAACTGAATCTGGATTAGATTGATGCCTATTGAGTCAGTGTGAGATCTTTGTTGACTTGGACACTGACGACTTAAAATTTGAGGAAGTTGAGCTATTAGGTGCTGTATCATGTGTTTATAAAGATTAATAGCTTGAAGTTACGCAAGTTAGAAGCTTAGAATAACAAGTCTTTATATTTGATTCCAGTAAGTTTTATTAAAAGTTTAATGATTGGAGGTTGTACTTTTCCTCTTAACTGCAGACACCAGTACATACAATTGCTTCCAATGCTGGGGTTGAAGGAGCTGTGGTTGTCGGCAAGTTACTGGAGCAGGACAACCCTGACCTTGGTTACGATGCAGCAAAAGGTGTGTCTCTTTCTATTGCCTGAGAATAACGATGCTATTGCTTTTATTATTATGTTGTACAAATTTGATTATCTAATATTTCTTTAATCATTCACAACCAGGGGAGTACGTAGACATGGTTAAGGCAGGAATCATCGACCCACTGAAAGTGATCAGAACTGCATTGGTGGATGCTGCAAGGTAATTAAGGACATGAAAGCTGGTTGGTTGTAATTTCTACTCGGATTCCTGCTCTTGCAAATAGAATTAGAGATTCTCATTACTGATTTTACTATTACACACTTGTCCATGTAAGGTGATGCAATTACCAAATGATCCCCAATAAAATGACACGAACACCCTTGACATGGACATGTATAGAGTATAATAGGGGTGTCAATTGGACTGGATTTAGTCCAATCCGATCCGGTCCAGTGTGAGTCCATTATAAATGGACCAGATCCAATCCAATCCAATGAATGTTTTGGACCAATTTGGACCGGTCCAAATTAATGTCTGGACCGTCCAATCTGTTCAAATTCATTTTGATTTAGATTGGTCTCAACCTAAACCCGGTCCATTGACACATATATTCATATCTTATATCAATGGACCAGATATTGGCTTAATCCAACCCAATCCAATATAAATTTGTTGCAAACGGACCAGGGTCAATCCAATCTAATAAATATTTTAGACCGGATTGGTCCAATCCAATATATTTTGTTGGTCCGTCCAATCTGTCCAAATTGATTTTGGACTGGACGGGGTCCAATCCAAAACCGGTCCATTGACACCCTTAGAGTATAGTGTAGAACATACCTCTCTAGTCTTTGCCCACAAGAGTGTAATTAATATTCCATCTTATTTGATGTTGTGCTATGCAGCGTGTCATCTTTGATGACAACCACCGAGGCTGTTGTAGTTGAGTTTCCCAAGGATGAGAAGGAAGTTCCAGCAATGGGTGGTATGGGCGGCATGGATTATTGAAGGCCTATTTAGACTGGATGAGCTGAGCATTAATCGAAGTGGTAATATTATATCCCGAATTTCGCATGAAAATTGAAAGAACGTTAGGGTTTGGAATGGTGGTGGGCTAATTCTTTCCCAAAGTGGGATCTGGTTCTTGTGCCCTCTGCACTGTTTAATCTGTCAGGAAATTTTCTTAGAGGCTCAGAAATCCGTGTAACCATAGCGAGGGAATTCAGTCTGTAGGAAGTTTTGTTCACGATTCTACCCGATTAGAGAAAAAAAAATCATTACTGATGATTGTAAAGACTCGAGTCTTTCTGTTCAGGATTCAGCAGGGATATCAGTGTAGGTTTTTCTCAAAATGAAAATAAAACATTTTATTTGAAAAAGGAAGTTTTAATGACGTTGTGTGGTGCTAAACGGTTAATTGATTTCTTTCCGAGCCGAGTTTTGGCTGGCCTTTGGGTTGGTTGTGTTGTATTACAAATCCAACAAGGGTAGTGGACTGACGGTGCCTCTAGTGAATTGTTACTACTCTGCCATGTATATATAATTCATTATAAAAAACACGGCTCTTGATGTTCGACAAAGAAGGTCCAGATATAATTGGCATACCTTTGATCTCTGTAGCTGACGAGTGATGACAGTGGAGTGGAGCTGATAATATCCAAGAGCTTGCCTTTGTTCTAGACTTCTAGTATTCATAAGGTATACTACCTTTCTGAGTCAGAACTTACCATTAGGTATCCATATCTGCGGTGATTAAGCTGCTTCGAATCCATTGATTGAAGTCTTCTGGATGATACAAACCATTAGCCCAACATGAATGTTCTTGTGCACAGATACAAGAGTTGTCATCATGTTGGTATGCTTGTTCTGCATTACCTGTGATGAGATTGGATCTCTTATGGTCCACAATCTGTTTCCATATCCATACCCACAGGGAACTCTACACAGTACAAGCACGCTTTGGGAACAGTTTGTGAGTAAGAGATGAGATCGGGAGTGATCTGTGGTAGCAGGGTTATGAGGGCCATCAGTAATGATTACTTTGGGGTAACTGATGTATTATGTATAGATGTGTATCGAAAATGGCTGCAGCGTGTTGAATTGTGGATGATCTTTCTCAAATTATATGATAGATAAGCCGTAAGCTGCCTGGCTCCCGGGTTTCGTGCCCCAACCACTTTTGTTAAGAACTTAAGACGTGGTTTTATACAAGTCTGGCCGGGGTTGAGGACCTTTAGGTCAATGCTAACCCAATCCAAGCTGTGGACTGGAACCCTCAACCCTAACCCTAACGGTCTAACCCAATCAAAAGTTTTCGGCTTGGGTTGGGATCAGGTTAGCCCAACTTCATTACTTCTTTTTTTTTTTTCCAAATGTTCTTATTTCCTACACTCAAGGGGTTAAGGTAAATTTAGTTCTGGCATTATTAAATTATATGAAAAATGACATAGTTATCATGCTTTTGAAAAACTTGTCTTTAAATTATAATTATATGAAAAAGGCATTATTGACCTGACACCCCCCCCCCAAAGCTTGCGTTACTCGGATTCTTAATGCTGCCAAGTTTCAAATCTCTGACTAAACCTCTCATTACTCTTACACCCTAATTCAAATCAACTGTGTACGGCTAGGGGTGTCAATGGRCCGGTTTTGGGTTGGACCCCATCCAAATTAAAAGCAATTTGAACAGATTATACAGACCTAAAAGACATTGAATTGGACCAATATACACTTAATGGTCCAAAGTATTTATTGGGTTGGATTGGACCTACTCCATCTGTAATGGATTTATATTGGATTAGGTGGAATTGAACCAATATCTGATCCATTGATAGAAGATAAGAACGTGTCAATGAACCAGGTTTGGGTGGAACCAATCTAAATTAAAATCAATTTGAACAGTTTGGACGATCTACACATTAAACTCGACTGGTCCAAAATGGATCAGAGTATTCATCGGACTATGTTGGGCTTAGGAGGGGGGCTGTGCTGCCCAAGCACGGCCCGCCAAGGCTCAAGGCCTGGCACGGATGGCATCCAGGCCGCCTTTAATCTGTGCCGTGCCAGCACAGCTCAACCCACATTACAGTTCTATATATAGAGTTGATATATGGATAAAACCAGATTCAAGAAAATGATATGATGGTGCTATTAAAGGGCGCACTATGACCTGAGAAAAGGTCTCGAGGTATTGTTGGTTAGCAAATGCCCTGATTGCACACCCCAGGGCGCTACAGCATAATTTTTCCCTTGTTGAATTTCTTGTTAAATGTTGTTTATTATATATAGTTACATACTGATCAAGACAAAGAAAAACAAGATTTGTCATTCTTATTCTGCCATTCAAATATGGATTTTTAGTATTGGACATTCTTATCACTAAATTTAATAGTTAGTAACCTCTTATCACTAAACCAGTAACTTACCAATACCATAAAAATAAAACTCAAATCAGTATTATTTCTATTTACGCCCTATGAGTTCTTACAAGAGATTGATGCAGCCATCTTCATTAGTGCAAATATATACATTTGTTGCTCATAAGGCTGTGCTTGGTTGCAGTATAATTTTATTTGCACTAGTGCAAATGTATGGGAATGCAAATTCTAATTTAAATTTGTTTTAGATTTTACTTTATTCAGTTCTTGTTTTACTTCATTTGTACTGCAACCAAACAAAATAAGGCAAAATTTGAAACAAAAATAAATCAGAATTTATATCCTAATAATTTGCACTATCATAGCTTTGCATCAGTGCAAATTTATTTGCACTACAACCAAATACAGCATAAGGTGTAAACTAAACAACATTATAAATACTAGCTGGCTCAGTAATTTTGCAATGCATGTTTGTGCCTAGAGATGGGTGGAAAATAAATTGGATTTTGGAATATAGATGGATTTCTATAGAACTACCATTTGTAGCTTAGCAAAACAGGGTTGGATGCAATCAAGGATACTGGACACTGTTCTCTCTCGGTTTGAGGCGTTTAGGGGCCTCGTTGTATACAACTTGTATACTTTCTTTGTTTCTTTTTAATTTATAAATTTTACCTTACCTTTCTCAAAAAAAAATAAATAAATAAAGAACTTATGGAGAAATCATCTTATGCAATTTATTCATACCCACATTGTAATTTGGATCAAGACTTAAGGCTTGGTTTGAAAGGGGTACAAATATAAATATATAGAATGCAAAACTTTGTATTTTGTATGTATTTATATTATATGTGTTTGTATTTGTATTCCTTCCAAACTGAGCATTAAAAGATTATAACTTTGTGTAATAAGAACGAATATTGTGTTTAATATTCTAGTAACATAAAATTGAAGTTTTGTAAGGGTCATATTATTTTTGGCCATTACTCTATAATAGAACTAAACAGAACCTTTGAAGAATAGATTACCTATTTGCTACATTTTGTTAATCCTTAGTGGTCTGTTTCTTTCTGTTTCAGAAACACCAATCATACAATGAATAAGTTCTAAGACTGATTTTTTTTCTTTTTTTTTGTTTGACTTTTTGGTTTGACAACTTTATGAGGTAAACCCAAAGCATCATACCAGTAAATTAATTATCGTAGCATATATTTGTTTCATGATGCCTATTCAAAAGCTATGATGGTCCATACTCTAAGGGTCCGTTTGGTTTGTAGTTGGAATCAGAATTGAAATTCTTCAGAGTTGAAATTGTAATGGTCTATTTCCATAGTCTATTTGATTTAGAAAGAAATTGGAATATGAATTTAAATCAGTTGGAATGGGATTTCATTCCCAAGGGAGGGAGGGAACGGAATGCCATTACACCAAGAATATAAATGGGATTCCAATTCTGCCCAACCAAACAGTTAGAATCAGAATATTTCTATTCCCATGAACCAAACATGACCTAAATTAATACCTTATCTTTCTGAATGCAAAAATCCATTGTATTATGCCATAATGAAATTAGATCATGTTGTGGATATGGTGTTGTTACTAGAGATGTTTGTTTTCTTATTTTGGTAGGAGATCATGTGAAATAATTTCCCTTTAGGCTATGTTTGGAAACAACACAAATAACTGTGAATGCAAATATATAGAGTGTAAAACGGTTCATATAAATTGTAAAGTTGGGTTAGTTTTGCACTAACAAATTTATCTTCTTACCAAGTAGACTTTTAGCTGTAATGGATGTAAACACTAATTCCAATAAAGCATATGCCTTATTTTATCAAAATCCCACTTGAATGCAAATTTACTTATTTTTTATTGATGTACTTTTACATCTTATTATTGATATAAATATGCATTGGTTTTGTCATTTATCAATGCAAAAATGTAATATTGTCAAACATAGACAAAAGTGAACTGCAAATTTACCCTAAACCGGGATTTACACTCTATTTATATTGTTTCCAAATGCAGCCTTAAAAGTGATGCTGATTAGATGAAATGTTTCTTGGGCTAAAACTCGTACTTAAAGCATGATAGGTTCCTACAGGAGTATGACAATGGAGCTCTTATGAGATTCTTAAGATCTAGCTCGCATCCTTTGATGGGAATGATAGTCTAATTTGAACCCTTGATAGTAAAAAGAATTTTATGGTAAGTCACAGTCTTGCAAGCACTTCACGCGTCAGTCGGTTCATCAGTTCATCCAGTTCAGCCACTTCAGCGCTGTCCACCCAATTTTGTTTGCTTTACGAAATTGTTGTGGTTCAGTTGGCATCAAAGAATGCAGGCTTTGATGCTTCATATAAATGTATAATATACTAATATACATATATAAACATCATTATAATTCTTGATACAATTTTAATGTAGGCTTTATTTCTGCATTTTTTTATATTTTCTAAAACTTTAATAATATATTTTTGCAATTTTTTATGTTTTATGTGTTTTTATGTATTTTTAGAAGTTTCATTCAGTTTGGACCAAATTGGACCCAAATCTGGTCTGTTTGAATTTCAATTAGATTAGATTGGATTTGGTTTATATGGGTTTGAACTGAATTTGGTCCGGTACATTTATAAATGGACCTATGTTGGATTGGATTGGACCAAATCTGGTCCAATTGACAACACTACTTGAACCCATATAAGCATAGTCCCAATCTCATATTAGATATACTTAGCAAAACTCAACCCCATGACTTGCATCCAAACAAAATAGTTTTTTTATGCATGAAGGGCCTTGATTGTGCCATGTGATTAGATTGTTAAGGAGACACTTGGCCCCCTCTAGGCATGTGTTTTCATTAGACCTATTCATGGGTTGGGTAGCTTGACGGGCTGGCCTGGTCTAGTTTGTCCTAAGTCGGGCTTCAACAAAATTTTAAGCACGCGAACTCGGGCTTGGGCTCTAAAAATCAAGCTTGACTATTTTTCGAGTAAGCTCAGGCTTTCCCAAATAAGGCCAACCCAAGCCTGAGCCTGATCCAATAATATTAAATATATAGTAGAAATATGATATATGCCTTAATACTATATAATATATATTATATAATAGTAAAATTAATAACAAAAAAGTATTATATATATTAAATGTATACAATATTATATAATATATAATATATTATAAAATACATATCAATATTGGGCTTTGGGTTTGGGCCCAAACTTTGGGCTTTATATAGGGCCGGGCTCAAGCTCAAGATCTAGGCTTGACAATCGGGCTGGGTTCGGGCTCGAGCTTGATGATACAAGATGGCCTAAGATCTAAAACCGTATCTAATAACTTCAGTTGTATTTGATACTATTGCCACTTTCTACTTGTAACATTTTAGGTTGGTCAATATAAATTTTCTAAGAATATATTTTCTTGCTACCACAAATGCTTTGAGTTATCAGTACAACATTGGGTACCATTACTGTTTCTTTAGGAAACATCAAATTTAGTGTTTTTATTATAAATGCCAACACCTATATGACAAGACAATTTTTCAAAAATTTGTGTTGACCAATACAAAAAATTGCAAGTAGAAATGACAATAGTACCAAACACAATTTTGTTTGGAATATTCTAGAATGTCGATGAACCATGCATGTTTAGATGGCCAACTTTCCTATAAATCCCCTTAAGGGGGATTTTGAATGTTCCCATTTTCAACTGATTTGCTACAACCCTTTTTACCCACATACCCTCTTCGGCACCTGTATCCAACTTTTAGAACCCACAGACCAACCTTACTCCAGGCTTGGGGTTTGCGTTGAGCTAGGCCTAGGCTCGATCTATACCCTTGTTATAAATGCTAAACTTAGAATAGCTCATAACCACTCCCAACAAGAGCAAGGATTAGCTGTTAGCTAAATGCATTGGATGTTTGCATATCATTGATTCCACAGCCTGCTGAACAATCATCGTATTCAGTTAATCCAAATTACCCTAGCAATTGGGGAGGGAGGTTTCAATACAATGTTTTCAACTCATTGTTGCCCCCATCCAGTAACTCAATCACAAATTAATTGGGGTCAATCTCCAACTCACTGTTTTGCAAAATTCGTGGACTTGGTCAATGGCTTGTCAAAGTAGGTAGTTGAACCATTAGCCTATTTATTGGTTCAAGCTCCGGTTCCAGGTAGGGTTTTAAAACATCGGTTCAGTATCATATAAAAATACTGCCAAACAAAGCATCATATAAAAATACAAAGAGCTCTTGCCCAACAAGAGAAAACAAATATAAAGAAATACCAAATATCTAAAAAAGAAAAAAGACTCCAAATTAAAGGAAAGTTCCATCTGATTTATCCTAGAAAAAACTATAAAAGGGATCTTATTGAAAATTGCATGGTGGCTTCGGCGGCAAACATGGAAGCATGCCTACAATAATAAATTAGGGTAAAATATAAAAATCTCCCCTGAGATTTACGAGAATCATAAAAATCTCCCCTGAAATTTTATTTTAATAAAAAAACCTTTGTTATAGTTTTGAAGAAACTGTAGTTACCTCCCTCTATCATTGTGATAGACCAGAAACGTTGGCCTATTGCATTAGTGTTTTTTTTATAAATACCCATTTACTCATATGCCTATCAATTCATATGAAGGTTTACCAAAATACTCCCAAATGTAAAGTAATTTGACTTTATAAATCTGTTAGCTAGAGTGAAATCTAGAAGGGTAAATCTGACATTTTAAATTATGTAGAAATATGTTCTAACAAATAGTAACGACAATCTAGTAAATTATAACCCTCGAACAATGACCAAAGTGAGGTAATTGCAGGTTTTTCAAAACTAAGGAAGGCTTTTATTAAAGTGAAACCTTAATAGAGATTTTTATGATTGTCAGAAACCTCAGGAAGGATTTTAAATTTCATCCAATGAATAAAGGCTGTCAACACTTAAGCGCAAAGAAAGCGGACAAGCTTGGTTTCAAAGCAAAATTTGGAYTTGATTTGAGAAACAACTAGTCATCATGGTTGCAGCGATCTAACTTGTACGCTTAGTTACATCTAGTAAATTGTGGGGGCCCACCAATACAACCATTCTCAACTACCATGATCCCTTACTTCACTGAAGACAAAAAAAACTTCCATGATCGCTTGTTTAACCAGCAATAAATTATTATCTACAACTGACATCGAACTAGATATTGGTTTCCACGTGGAAAAATAGATATTTCAAATTCGATCAAGAATTAAGGCATCGTTTGGTTCATGAGAATAGGGCTTTAGAATTGGAATTAAAATGATCTCAATTGATTGGTTGAGTGGAATTGGTATCCGTTTCCATTCTTATTGGAATGATATTCCCTGCCCCTCCCTTGAAAATGAAATTCTCTTTCCTATAATTCTAATTTCCATTCCCACTCCTGTATAAATCAAACAGACGATAAGAATTAACCATTTTAATTCCGATTCTAATTATGAACTAAACAGACCCWAAGAACTAAGAAGAAAACGTAGTGGATGGTCGATGGAACATCTTCAACGAAAAGGGATATCATCCCAACACTGTCCTCTGCGGCTGTGAATTGTGATGGCTAGTTGGGACAGTGCTTATTCGTCGCAGATGTTTACGATGTGGGCGGTGCTGCCGTGGATCTACCTCTCGATAACATTTCCGTAAATCAAGAACCATTTGGAGCAAATTCGCTGCCCGATTAGGGATGCGAGCGATATCCGTTTGCCCGAATTCGAATTATACGCCGGTAATCCGAATTTAATCCATAGGTTTGAATATATATGTCATATGTGTAATAGGTTCATCAATTTACATTTATTAGTAAAAAATAAGTTAAATCAGTTTAGATATTATATTTAAAGATATTATTAGTTGATATTTAAAATAATATATTCGGAGGGTTCGCTGCGATGCTACCGGTTTGAATCCGATATAATCCGACGGGTAAGGTTTGATTCGAAACCGAATATTAGCGATACGCGGACGCGGACGTCATAACTTCATAAGTAGAGACCAGTTACTGACACACTTTTCCGAGGAAGCTGCCGAGTGCCGGTTAGATCTCTCTCCGATGTCCGAACGATTATAAGAATCAGGGCTAATGTGCTTTCTCTGTGTCTCCTAGACTCCAAATCTCCCTCTCTTTTTCCGTTATAAACCTATAAACTGGTAATGTGAACCAGTGATGCCTTCAGTTCTGAAATTTTGTGAAAATTTGGGAGAAGATGTAGTTTTTTTGGTAGTAAAATCTAGTTTTCAGTTGAGCTGATAAGGCTGTTATGTTAGCAGATCGAGATTGGAAGTACCGGAAAGGCTCCATGGCTGTTCCTGTTGAAGAAGCCATTGCAGCTCTATCGACGTTTTCGTTAGAGGTGAGTGATTTGATTGGTTGCCATTTTCAATAGTTTCTGTAGAATTCATTAATTCCATTTAATTTCAAGTGTGTTTCGGGTCTTATTGTTCATGTAGAATTTCTAATGGATATCATCTTACTTATTGAAATAATTTTGCTTAGAAAGTTTTTTTTTTTTTTTTTGGGTTCTGAGAAGGAACGACCACATTAGAAGTCCTCTCATTCAACTGAACTCAGCAGAGCTTTATTCCAACTATTTGTGGTTGGATACAGTAAGAGACAGATCCACCATTGCAATCCATCAAGGACATGTCCTCATTCAGATTATTTGGTTCTTAATTTCTCATTGCTTCAATTCAAGTACTTTTGGTTTTCTTTTTCTCTTTGAAAGCCTTTTCTATACTTCTACTTGCACGAAGTTATTTCTTGCCACTGGTGCAGTTATTGGTTTTCTTTGCACATGGCTGAACCATTTCATTAGACTTTCCCTCATCTTGTCATCTGTTCAGTCCTAAGTCTTCTTGGTTGCTTTCATTTTTAATTCTATTATTCCTAGTTTGCCACTTATCTTAGCATCTTCATCTCAGCTATTCCTTGTTTTGGACGCTTTGAGTCTTTATTGTGGAAAACTCCAGTCTACGTAATGACATTTTTTGATATTTGTCTTGCGAAACTTCTGGACTCATTGCTAGGTACTGATCCAATAACACGCTAGGTGCACTTTTCCATTTTAGCCACCCTGCTCTAATTCTATGAGTAACACTCTCTTCAACTTATTCCTTGTTATGGATGATTGAGTCAAGATAGCAGAAATGTTCACTTTTGATGTATTTCTATATCAATATATCATTGATCTTAATTGAATCATTGTTGCTACTTCTATGCTGTTAGCCTGTTAGATGTCTTATACGATGTTGTCCGGCTCAGAGTGGACACAAAACTGGAATGCTTAATGGATCACGGGTGGAATGGCCTGACCACTGGATTGATCCAGTGAACTGTGAAATAATAAATAAAACACAAAAATATAGACAAAATATAAACAATACCTGACAGTTACAGCAAATAAAAAATGATCTAATTTCTATTGTTAGCAATCAAAATGGCTCTATTGGCAAACAAAATACGACAAGTTTTTAATTGAATAAGAAGTAGAAAGAAGAAAAAAATGCAGAAAATGAAAAAGACTTAAAGAGAGGAGTTTATGATTTTCTCGTACAATTGAAGGAAACCCTCTTTGTAACAAAAGGAAAAAGAAACTTCTACAAAACTATGAAAGTGTAAAACAATCATATAATCTCATTCTCTTCAGTTCTTCTTAAGCGAAAATCTTAAAGTCTGAAAGATTGAAGCTTCTGTGAAACCCTCCCTTTTCTCATGTCCCCTCCATAGTTTCATTCTCATATTTTAAATATTTATAAAAAATTAAATAGCCATAGAATTACACCCATAAAAATCATTGCTTACCTGTAACTTCTTTTGATTCCATGGAGAGCAAGCTCTGGCTTTCTTTGACACTTAACATTTGGAAAGAGATAGAAGTGTCACTTTTGAAAGTTCAATGAATATCTGAAGGTTCCTCTTCATCAAGTCTTATGACTTGATATCATTAGAGCAGCATATATGCAACAAACCAAGGTAACCGCCTGCCCTGGTTGATGTTCTCTGCAAGTTTACATCAAAGGCCTCCCCAAATTCATTGCGAAGAACTGAAACACCAGCAAGTGTTCTAGCAGGGGGTTGTAAATAGGAACTTGTACTGGACATCTTCTTGCACGCTGGAGGCCTTGTGCCAGTATTGCATCCATTTGATCCCCCAAACTATAGTTATAAGCAGTAGATAGCATTTAAGTGGATGGGGAGTCTAGGTTGTGAGGCTCATCTACATGTACATGAGTATTAGGTCCACCAGTGCTTGATGATGATGAGTTGATTCCTTGAAATCTCACAAAAGCCTGAAACTGATTGAAATCTCAGGTCCTTTTTTGTGTTGTAGACTTGAAATCTCAAATTCAACTGCTCAAGTGTTAAGTTTATCTTTGATTCTTCTTCATCAGTCCTCTTTTCCTCTTCGTTTTCTAAACTGAAGCTTCTTTGGTGATCTCTTACTCTCGTAGAAAAAAAAAGACTTAGAGTTTCTCTTTTGTTAGAGGGTTTGCTTAAAAACTCTACCCAGATGGTCCAACCATGACTCAACCAGGTTTTGATAATATTTAGAACCTGGTATGCCTAAAAACTGGAACACCTGCTGGGTACTGGTCCCAACTGTCTGACTGTCTGGTCCAGTTCAACTCTGACATTGGTGTAATATTCCTAATTCTAGGAGGTTAGGGATCAAAGATAATTTGTACATAAATTCTTCTCTGCTTGTGTGTTTATTTTGACTGTTCTGTTATATTGTCTTTTACTTTTGCTATCTGTTATCCTATCTTAATATCCCATTTCCTTTGTATTTTTTTTGAAAATGGTAAGGGGTAATTAATAATCAGTAATGGTAAGGGGTAATTCAATAATCGGTATAAGTAGAATATTACATCAAAAAGTCCGCTGTCTTGGTCTTGTCTTAAAACCGGATTCTGTATCTACCCATTTTTTGGGAAAAAGGTTCATTCATATTCGTATCAACCAGGAGTTATATTCCAATTGGTTTCTTCCTTTCTTGGATTTGCAATTTTTTTTCATGGGCAATCCAATAAATATTTTTGTTGTATAAAAAGACCACTACCCAATGTTGCTGTACACATGGAAAAAATATAAAAGAAGGGAAGAAAGACAAAAACAACCTCAAACAACTTTACTATGTACCACCTTCTATGCCCAAGACAGATACCAGTTAAAGACAAAATCCCTTTTTAAAGATTTAAATTCAATCAAAGCTAACCAATCCATTAAGAGACTGCTGCAGCATTTACACATAAGTGGGAAATGGGTTCTCCAATTTATAAAAGATCCCCATTTCCTCTTCCAAACAGCCAAACAAATAGACAAGAAACCATATGCCACAAGATTGCTCCCCAGTTTCTTAAAGGGCAAGAAAAAGGAAAATAGAGCAGAATGAACTCTGTTGAACTCATCCCAGACAAAAATGGAGAAAAGATTCCATAAAAATTGAAGTTACTGGACACCCAGCAAATGTCATTAATTGATTCTTTTGCTTCCTTGCAAAGAAACATCTGAATGATCTGATTGAGAGACCTCTGTTATTAAGACGTCAATGATGAGAACTTTGTCAAGATAAACTAGCCACAAGAAATCCCCAACACTAGGAGAGACAGAATGATCCAAAACACAATTGGCCTCAACAACTTCCATAAGCCCTCTTGCCAAGCAACAGAAAAAATTCCTTTTGGCTCTTCCTTCCAATTGGTTTTGTCCTTTTTGGGTTTGAGAACTAAGGGTGCATACTTGTGATCAAAGGACATTACCCCTGACCATTAGAAAAGGACAACGCCTATCTAATGGCATAATGTTTATCTCCTAATTGATCTAAAGCTATCCTCTTTTCAGTGTTCACTTATTTGATGCAGTAAATGGTCAAATGCTTTTGTGATCTTCGTTTTACTACATCATTGTTCCCTATTTAATTATGACATCTTTCATGATGAGATAGAAATCAATATTAGTTTATTTTTGTTCATTATCTTGGAAATTGTATTCTTACAGATAGTTAATGTTGCAGGATGAACAACCTGAGGTACAGGGCATAGCTATTCAGCTATCAACCGAAAGATGTGCAACTAACAGTCCTATAGGTATTCAAAACAGGTGTAAAATTTGAATTGTCTGAATGTACATTGAAACCTCTATTGTCATATCTTTATAAAGACCTATCACAGTTTTCTTGATTTGCTTTGTGTACTAGAATTGCAATTGGTGATTGAATTAGGACTTAGGAGTATGGAAGTACTTGATGAAATTTTCCTATATAGTGGCTAGTGCATATAGTGCATAATTCCTTTGATATTCCATGATCAAAAAACAATAATGGGAATTTATCAAAGAGAATAAGAAAGAAATGACTTTCAGGAAGCATGTGATCACCTGAATGGGTTTTCATAGAATAAGTCATGGAGAAGGTTGGATGATGATGTTGATGGTTGAACTTTTTGCATGAAAACAGATCTTCCCTTTCTAATTAGTGATTCTCTGGGGCACTGTTTCTAGTTCTGGGGGATCCAGGCAAGTAGATCATCTCTTTGTTCTTATTCTTGGTGGTTGTGGTAGCATCAACAAAACTGCTTGTGAAGGCAGGAAAGGTAGATGCTATCTAAAGGTTTCTGATGTCTGAAGAAGTTCCTATTTCTCAGTTGCACCTTGTCAATCATATAATTGTATTTCTTTCACCATCAGTTTACCAAGTTGAACCAGGGAAGGGAAGATCATCCGTCATCCTTAGAAGATTTTAGGTGGCCACAGGATTTGAACTAATTTAAAGGAGAATATGGTGGTGGAGCTGGTATCTAAAGTAAAAAATTCATGGCATAGTGTGCTTGATGCATTGGTGCATGGTAAGATGAGTTTTCTTTCTTTCTTTTTTTTTTCATATTTAGGGCTTCCAAATAATGGTGGGAGTTTGGGATCTGATTCTGGAAAGAATAAGCAAGGGGCTAGTTGCATGGAAGAAAGATACATATCATTATAGGGGCAAAATCACACTGATTAAGCTCGTACTGTCATGTCTTGTGGAGGACTTCTGGGCTTGGAAACATCTTATTAGTGAAACTAGGGCCTCAGTTTTCATGATGTACAATTCATTCAGGTGGGTTCCAAGATCACGAAATTCCTTAGGTTTGGCTAGAGCTGTTGTGGGGAACCAACCCCTTGGATTGGTGCATTTCTTCTTTTCTGGATGTGCTTATGCATGCTCTGTCAGAACTTGTTGTGTTTATAGGTATTTGCAATAAGATGGTGATTGTGTATTGGTTGACATTCTCCTTGTTTTTTGGTAAGAAAGCATGTACTGTTTTTACCTAATTTTTGATCATTAATGAAATGCTCGCTATAAGAAAACATAAAAAAAAAGGAAAATATAGCAGGGTATTAGTTCCCCTAGTACAACAGAATAAAGTTTTTTGTGGCTCCAGTTTGGAGTCAAATGTTCATCTGTTGAGAGCCTTAGGTAGATGTGAGGGAGTTTGGGGTGGTTGATCTTGGGTTGGGTAGATGATTTTTCAAATGAGTTTTAGGGTCAAATATTAGATTATGGATGATTTAGATGCTATTTGCCTGTGTTCTGATGGGTGTCTTTAGTCTCTCTTCTGGATTGGTGGGTTATGTTTCCTGGGGTGGTCCTTTTTTTTTTTGATCAATAACACCAGCTTCATTAAATTAAAAGAAAAGAGGGAATATGGATAGAAAAGGGGAGATAAAATATCTTAGCTCCCCAAAAACAGAAAACAAAGGGAATGCAAAGAGAAAAAATTAAAAACTAGCCCAAAAAACAGACTCCCTATTCACTCCTTGCTTGGCCAACCCATCCGCAAATGAGTTGGCACTCCTCTTCACCCAGCTGTACTGAATCTCAATGTCCCTACCCAGCCATAAGAACTGTTTTTTTCATTGTTAAAGTTCCACAAACCATTGTCCTCTGTCTTCAACCAACTAACCACCACCTTCGAATCACCTTCCAGGATCAAACGACTGATATTTAATTCCTTTGCTCTTCGAATTCCTTCAAGCGCTGCAAGGATCTCAGCCCTAAGAGAGTCACCTTCTCCAATAGGGCCAGAGAAAAGCAATAACAATCCCTTCCTCATTCCTGAAGACTCCTCCAATCCCAGAGRGCCCTGGATTCCTTACAYTGCTGCCATCAAAATTCAGCTTTATAAAGCCCGAGGGGGGAGGGGACCAAAACGGACAAAGAGTCCTCTTGCATCTAGCAATGGAAGCAATCTCTTTCCAGTTTCTTAGCAAGTCATCCACAGGAAAATCTGAAAACAACTCCAAAGATTTTAGCCAGTGGACAGCCCTTAAAAGGATTCGATCTAACAATTCTTCCAATGTTCTTTCCTTGTCGGAAAAAATGCGTGAGTTTCTTTCTTCCCACAAAGACCAGCATACTGTTGCCCTAATACACGTCCACATAGTCTTCTCGCTTCCTAGGCCAACTGAAAAAAGAAGGAGAAACAAACCTTGGACAGTCTCCGGAGGATACCAAGAACACCCAAAACGGGAGAAAACCCACTCCCAAATAGTTTTAGCAGCCTTACAAGAGACCATGAGGTGGTAGCCAGATTCCCCATTAGCTTTACAAAGAGCACATCTATTAGGAAGTAGACAATAGTTGGGTCTCTTTCACTGAAGTGAGTCTAAAATGTTGATTCTTTCCAGGAAAATTTCCCAACAAAAAAAGCCAACCCGAGGAGGAATAGGCCTGCTCCAAATTTCCTTAACTGGAAAGGACAATCCAAAGAGGATAGGAGGCTGAGTTAAGGTTTCAAAGAATGAAACACAAGAAAAGGTACCAGAGCTAGAAGGGGTCCAAAATCTGGTGTCTTCCTTAGCAGGGTTTAGGAAGGCAATCTCAAGGGAGGCTAGCAAAGTTACCAAGCTATCCATGTCTGTATCCCTAATTGCCCTACGCAGGCCAAGGTTCCATCCAAAGCCAGAAGTGGAGGCTGAAGGGACCAAGAAAGAAGATATGGGTTCATTTTTCAAGTTTGGTAGAGCATACAAGGAAGGAAACTGGTTCTTCAGAGGAGAATCCCCGGCCCAAAGTTGTTCCCAGAATTTTATTCGGTTACCAGAGGTTAGACCATACCTAATCCAAGGGGAGAAAACTGGAAGCAGATTGTGAATGGATTTCCAAGGAGAAGCAGMTGAAGCCCTTGCCAAGATTCCAGGATCCTAGCCATTGTCTTCCAGCCCATGAATGCTAGCCACAATCTTAGTCCACAATTTATCCCTTTCCAATGAAAACCTCCACAACCACTTCCCCAGTAGAACCATATTCCTTTTCTTGAAATTACCAATCCCAAGACCTCCTAGTTTTTTACACCTAGTGACCACCTCCCAACTCACCCTATGATATCTCTTCTCCTCTCTAGGCTCCCACATAAAGTTCCTTATTAATTTTTCTAAAAGATTGGAAACCTTTAAGGGGATCTTAAACATTGAAAGATAGTAGACAAGTAGGTTAGCTAGGGTAGACCTAATGAGAGTGACTCTCCCACCTAAAAAAGATAATTTCTCTTCCAGGCCGCCAACCTCTTCTCAAACCTCTCCACTACCGGAGCCCAAAAGCTAATAGTCTTATGATTATCTCCTAAAGGGAGGCCCAAGTATGTCAGGGGCCAGTCCGAAATTGCACAACCTAGCTCACCTGCAAATTCCCTTAGGTCCCTTTCATTCACATTCACTCTCGCCACACAACTCTTATCAAAGTTTACCTTGAAGTTAGATATCTGCTCAAAGAGTTGTATTGTCAACTTTAGATTCCGAATCCAATTGAAGTTCCCTCCTTCACAGAATAGGATAGTATCATCTGCAAACTGTAGAAGTGTTAAGGGAATCTCCTCCCTTCCTACTCTCCACCCTCTTATCAAATTCCTCGAGTCTGCTCTATGGATCAATCTCCCAAGCACATCAACAATCAGGGTGAAAAGAAATGGGGAAAGAGGATCTCCTTGTCTTAGACCTCTCAACGCAGGAAAGAAGTCAACCACAGT